ATTGGCAACATGTATCTTTTAAGGAGCCCTGTCCAAGGGAGTGTCCTTCCTCCTTCAGTTTGCTTGCTTCTGCGTTTTGTGTCCAAAACTATTTCTCAAACAACCCCAGCAACAGGTTTCCCCCTCCAAACAACCACCCCCACTTGTTGAATTTGAAGTGACTCCACAACCGGATGATCGCCCGTGATGCTGACGCCTCATGAAGCTGTCCTTCTAAGTAAGATAGTGAATTCTGCGCCATAATTCTACGCCAGAAAGCTAAGCCCCGGTCGGAGCCTGTCAAAGAATGGTCTTAGCAATGCGATCAATCCTGACCCAAAATGGCAATATGTATGGCACAAACCCGGAGCTACTTTCAAACCATAAGCCGTCTGGCAGTTTGATGCTCCTCAACGAGATCTGGTATCATTGAAGGCTCGTGCCACAATTTCCGCAACCCACAGCTTTCGCATTCGGAACGCGCGGCTTTTGCACTCGGAACGCGCGGAACACGGGGTGCAATTTGAGGCAAACCTTGCGCAACTGACACACTCATGAGCAGACGTAATTGCTCGGGATACGTCCCTGCACCCACTACACTATGGTCTCAATCACTGGCTGTCTCTAGGAAATTAATATTTCTCCAGGTACCAAAAACAAACATGAATCCAGTCTGAATTGTTTACTGTCGCGAATCACATTGGGTCCCAAACAACTTTACTGGAACAGGGTATACACCTGAACATTGCTTTGTAAATGGTGGTGTCCCTTCATTTTTGTGGAAAAAGCCAAGTTTCAAATGGTTGCAAAATGTATCTTTTAAGGAGCCCTGTGGGCCAATTCACCTAGGCTGGAATTCGGACCCCAGCAAAAAAACATATCCTTTTTGGCTGGTTAGTGGAAAACAAAGGGACCCCAAAAAAATCAGAAAAAACGAAAAAAGGGGAGCCCCTTTTGTGGGGAAGTCACCAAAATCCAATATGCGGCAAGTGCCTATGACCGTGAAGCCATGGGCCACGGCTTTATACTTCGACTATGCAAGAAATTTACAGTGGGAAGATGTTTCAGTGCCACAGAAGTGGGAAGGCAAAAAAAAGGGGTACTTCCTTCCGGAAGTGAAGAAACACATCTATGGACCTGGCAAAAAATAAATCAACTAGCGGTGTGTTATGCCTTTTTCATGAAGTGGGATACAATTGTTTGGCCTCCCTTTATCAGCCCCTTCCGGTGGCTGTGTCACTTTTTGGAGGTACCCTTTAGGGTAAGGGACACCAAATAAGCGCCCAATGTTGGTTCATGGTTGTAGAGGCATACACATCTATACAAAACGCATGTGTACATATTTATGTAAATGCAAGGTCCAACAAGGCTTGCGGGCTGCTACGGTTGTCTAAATTCTGGGGTCAGCGACCGTCCCTAGCCCAAGTAAAGGGTTGGACCACCGTGCGGGGTGCAAAGGAAACGGTTCCTCTTTTAACTTCGACCCCCAGATTTACATACGGGAATGCGTAGGTCTTAGTCCATTCCATCTACCAGGGCTTGCGCCATTTTGGGGTTACCCGATTTTTGCCCCCGGATTTTTCCATACCTCCCACAACGGGTCGAAGGCTTCAACCCAGAAACCGATGTTGAGGCTGGTGTAGGTGAGGAAGGCCAGCAGGCTGGAGGCGCCACGTATCTCGCCTCAAACCGCATCGCTACCCCGGGAAGTTTAGGAATTGCCGTACGGACACGAATTGAAATAGATAGATAGACCGATAGATGGGTAGAAAGCAATAAAGAAAGAGAACCAGAAGTAAAGAAAGCCAAAAGCTTAAACGAAGAAAAGACATCACAAATAAAGCTAACAAAAAGAGAACGATAAAGATATCTATCTAGATCTCATGTCTCAAACTTCCCCCCAGCGGCTTCACCGGTACCGGTTGCATCATGTTTCCCTTGGGGGTGGGGGGGGGGCTCTCAACCCCTTGGGGGGATTCCATAGAACTCTTCCGGGGGTTGATTCCAAGCATTCTTTTCAAGCATCGCTCTTCCCCAAAACCCGCAAATCGTTTTCGCTGGGTATGCGGAGGTTGTCCTCATCCAAAAAACTGGAAAGAATAAAGCAGGCGCGTCCGTGCGAACTCTGGGTTGATTGCACCAAACGCATGGGTCAAAATTCGTCACCACGAGAGAAGCGCAAAGCAAGGAGGAGAACCTACAAGCTCAGTTCGGCCAACTTGTTCTCTGCCACGATTCCAAAAACAAAGACGCGTGTCATAATCAAAACCCGGTACTAAAATGGTCGACCCAGAACCATGCAAAAAATTAAGAAGGCGGATTTCCGCAGCCATTCATGGTTGGGATTGTCCCTTTCTATCTAACCTTCATCTATCCGAATCGGTTTTGAGGACGTGGCTCACGTGACTTTCGAGCTAGGGACCGGACACCGCGCTTCCATACCCTTTCCGTGGCTTTACTTTTTAGTGCTCTAACGAATATTGATCTCCCGGAGCACGCTCAAACCCTTCCAGTCACCCAGTTGGGTTTGGTAGAGAGGATTAAACAACTGAATTCAGGAATGAAAACTCGCGGTTCTTAAACCCTTGGTTTGGGGTCCATGAGTAGCCCTAGTCCCAGTCAAGAGGTTGCGCATTCATGTCAGGAGACACGCACCCTGCGGTGATGCATGCCTCGCTCAACAAAAGGAGCTAGGCTCCACCTGGTCGTGTCGCAAATCGATGGCGATTGTACCTACCACGTTTGATCGAAGTTCTCTCGATCTCAGCCTCGTAGGGGGTCTTAGCACTGTTGCTCTCCCACTTTGGGCGGAGGATGATGGCATATTTTCGGGTGTCGGCAGTTGCCAATAACGGAGCTTGAATGGTCTCGAAGATTAAAACTTCGTTGGGAATCTTAGGACGCTGGTCGAGTCCGGGCCTAGATGCACAGTATCCGTGCCAGAGAAGGGGGCCCTGGGTCAACTTTGCAGGTTTGGCTGGGAGAAAAGGCGCTTGATGTGATCCATTTCACCCCGGCCATGGGACCAAGACTCGAGTTACACCATCCATCACCATCCCAAAGTTTGGACAGACCCTGCAGTCAAAAGACCTCTTGCAAGCTTGGGCTCAATCAGAAGTTCGGAATATGCTTGAGGCATACCAGATACCTGGAAACCAGCTTGCTGATTCTGCATGTAAAGCTGCCAACAACAATTCAATAGCTGCAATGGATGAAGTGCTAGGGGCAGAAATTGAAGACAACTGAACCTGGGTACTGCTACCCTACCAGACTAGCAGCTCCCAGAAGGCAAGATTGCAATGCTGGATGTCCCCTTGTGGAAGTGCATTCAGAATTTCGAGACTGGGACCAGATTTTTAGGAGAATGGCCGGTTGGGGTTCATGGCGTTGAAAGGGGGGCCCCAACTTTGGGGGGGGGGGGAGTTCTAAACCCCGCCCGGTCTTCATCAGGCCAGGCCTTAGGGCTCTATTTCTGGGCTTCAGGGGCAGGGTGAGGGGAATTCCAGAAACACAATGCGCACTTGGTCCGAGGCGCCCGCGTTGTTGCCCGAGAAGAGTAGCTTCACCGAGCCTCACGCGTGAGACGCGCGGCTCTCCATCGGTGTTCCCCCACTACTGCTGACTGGCTCAATTCTCAATTCTTCTCAGGGCCTTCTGGGTGGCGCCAAATTGCCTAGAGCGCGCTGACGTCACAAACACACGAGGCTAACTAAACATGAATTCAACTTTAACTCGAGTTGCGGCCTTGCGAGCTTGAAGGCCTTAATTTGTGCCTGAGAATGTCTCACTCAAAGTGGGCTAGCGATGTTGTGCCCCTTTTGTATCCTTTTGCAAGAACTGCTCAGATTCTTGGTGTCATAGCATCTTCCAGCGCTGCTTTGCTCAACTTCCAGACGGGATGCCCTGCGGGTTATTCAAAAAAAGGCCTCTGCGGTGGGCTGATTGGATTTCCCGGCTCTCAGGTTGCCCCTGCAGCCGTCAACACCTGGGAATCTCCGCGCTCAATGTTTGGCGTTGCAAGTGCACACGGACTCCGACACTTTCTGGCATGAGTTGTTGGCCCAAAGCTGAGAAACCTTGCGCCTCTGAAGGGCTGGCTGGTTCCTTCCAATTGGTTTGGAGCCCGGTGGTTTGGTGGTTGGCGGGCTACCCTCAAGAACCAACCAATCCAAACCACTAACTAAGCCCAGTCTGTCAACGGCCCTCCCAGGAGGGTCCTTTACAAAGGACCTCCTGGGAGATATGTGCGCGCATGCTTTGCTGGCCATGCCATGCAGGCTTACCAAGTCGGCGGAAAGTATGCGTTTCAAGAACTTTGCAATTGACTCCTTGGAAAGGTTAGATGACAATGAGGTTTAATTCCTGAGCACGAATCCGGGCACTTGGGGGCATGGCGCAAAATGAAAGTCCTAATTAGGACACTACTCTAGCATACAGGACTAATTGGAGAAACGCAAAGAAAAGGGCATCATCTGTTGCATCTTACAATGGCAATGACGTGGTTTGGACAAATAAAGTTGTCAAATCGGCGAGCAAGAATTCCTTTAGCGTGAATGGCGAGTTCTGAGATTTAAAGTTCATTGTCTGGACTGCATCTGCCTTGCTTTGCCTGAATCAAAACCACTGCAAAGAGCACCACTATGTGGCCAGGTTAACACACACACACAATAGCTAGCAACACTCTTAAGTACACGGTGATTCGAGCTTTGCATTTGCGCTTGAGTCGCAGGGAGCAGAAAGCTGCAAGTAAGTGCATTTCGGTAGGCCAAGTCAGAAACGGTCTTTCAGCTTGAATTCCACAAAACCGGGGTCCTTTGTCTGGCAGTCCTTCCCGGAAGGGCCTTTAGATACACTGGGTAAGGGTGACCGGAATGTAAAAAAGGCCACCATCTCCATGGGGAGGTGTTTTTACACCCCCGCAGGTCGAGATCGTTTGAGAAAGAACGGCAGAATCGATCCAAGCTTTTACAGCTTGACTTTCTGATGCCAATACACCACATGGCCCCATCGAATGTCAGGATTCACCAACCCTTATGGAGTAATTTATTTCCCTGGCTGCAGGGCTTTGGACCGCATAAGCAATAAGCAGGGGTTCCGGGGCCAACATGACCAGTTCTTGCATGGGTTTGCGCAGGCGACTGCGCGATACCCACAAACCGGACCCCTTTGACACCGCAAATGCTTTGATACTTTCGGCCTGTCCCTCCAATGACGTGTGGGGGGGGGGGGGGGGGGGGCGACACATAGGCAACCCCCTTCCAAGGTCCTCGAAGAAAAAGGCGCAAAAAATGCCACCAAAAAGCGGGCGGGCTTGCGGCTTGCCTTTGGAGGGGCACGCCTGCTGCAAAAAAAACACAAATTTGTGGTAGGTTGATTTGCCTGGGGAATCGACCATGAACAAAGGCGACGAAAAAAAGAAGACAAAAAAAAGGGGGTTTTTCGCGAGGCGGGCCTACATGGGACAACTGCGCCTTCCCTTGCACCATTGACTCAAGGCCCAAGCCATCAGCAGAATAAGATGGAGCCATACTTTCTGATTTTTTTTTTGGGGGGGGGGGAAGCCAGCATCGAACCCCCCGATAGTATTACCTCATGGCTATACAGCATTTCTGTCTGCACGGAGGCTCGTGCTTGTTTACTCTCCTAGTGAGCTCGTCACATCCGGGTCGAGAACAAAAACCGCCATGTTCCCGATCCAATTTTTTGGAGCTACGCAGTTTGAATTCTACGGGGCTACCCGATGCTACCCCCTCCCTTTCCAACAAAAAAAGGATGGCCCTCTTTCGGCAAGTTGCTGTGAGACGTCGCCACCAAGAGCGAGGCAATGGGGTTGTACTCGCCCTGCGGAGTGGGGGTGTTTTTGCTGTTTGCCGGCTCAAGGGAAGAAACGGGGGCGGAATTCACTCGGGTTCATGCGGGCGTTCTGGAGTCCTTGCAATGGTGTGTCTCCAACGCAAACAAACTCATCCTGCATTTGCTCCCCAGCGAAAGACATACGTATTCCAATAGTGATAGATGCCATTTACAACGAAACAGGGGAAGAAAACCATATATTCTTAAGCAAGCGGCAGTCATTGTTGAGCATATTCTTAAGCACGCAAGCAAGGAACACATATTCTCGAACATATCCTTTGTCTCCTGAATTGCAAGCAAACTCATCCTCCATTTGCTGAAGCCCTGGGAAAGACAGGTTCCAATAGTGGTAGTTTCCCTTCAAAACCAACTGGGGAACGAACACGTTTCTTAAGCGAGCGACAGCCATTGCTTGACAAATGTTCAATCATTGGGCCCTGGGTTGCGGTGGAAAACACCCACGCCTCAAGTCTTTGCCCCGCTTTGGGACCTGGTCAGTTTCCCGTCGTGCCTTTTCTCCATTTGAGGGCCCCAAGGGTCTCGATTGTTTTGGGCCCTCAAAACTGGTTGTTTTCAAGGGCCCCCGAAGGGTTGGGGTTCTCCATTGGAGGGTCCGGGGGTGAGCATTGGAGGGTCATGATTCTCAGGGGGGTTGGGAACCAAAAAGAGAAAGGGCAACCCTCAAAACAGGAGGCAGTGTTCTTCATAGCTTCAAAAGTGGAAATAGAAGTCCAGACAGTCCAATGGCGCCGCGTCTTCGGCAGAGCAAAATTCGCCCTTTCGCATGCCTGGACGCTCGCTTTTCAGACTTAAAGGACTCAGTGCCACGAATTCATTGGGCAAATGGAACGATCACTCGGTTGCTTTCTGCTCCCCTGCCGAAAGCTTAACTTGTGGTTTGATGGAAAACCCATTGGCAAAAAGTGAAAGCATCCAAGCAAAATGCACCAAAGACAACCCAAGCCAACCCTGAGCCACACTTCGCTTTTTGCTTCCGCGACGCACGTCGGAAGATCTCGAAACAGGCCGCGTCAACCGCGGAGCACTGCGATTGACCAATGAAATATCAGCTGGCACATTTCAAGACCTCTCAACCAAGCACTGATCAAAGTCAGGTTGAAATGACCACGCCAAAAGAAAGGAGAGTTGTCAACTCTTTCCAAGCAAGGATTTCGGCGCGCTTCCGCTCTGGCTTTCGGATCCGCAGGTGATTGCCTTCCCTTCGGGTGCGCGTGATCATTGCCAGCCGAATCGTGGGATTTACAGCCAAAACGCTACTCATCAGGGCTGTGGGAAATGGAATCCACTTCTGTACAACAGAAAGGGCTTCTCAAAGACGAAACCCCGTAAGGGGGAGATTCCCAAAAGTATCACAGTGGGAATGAAGCCCTTGATCCCACAGCCCTGCTACTCATCCAGCCAAATCGGAGAGACCACGTGTCATCAAAGCCGCAACTTATAGGACCTTCGCAGCCGCTTGTGGCATATCCGGTTGCGCCGGGCTGGGACACCTATGCAAGTTCCTGAAATCTCTTCATGCGATTGTCCCGGTCACCCTGGGGAAAAGAGGAAAGGCTGGCGCGAATGAAACTTTAATGACAACTTTCAGCGGCACGCAGGCCATGGGGAATAAGGGATGGCCATGGGGAAGAAATCAGTGTGAATGTGGCCGAGCAACGTCCACTCCCTGACAAACCCGACGCAAGGAGAGTATGTGCAAGCCGAGACTATCAAGCCATCTCATCGTCTGCAAGTGGCATCGACTCAGGTTAATTACTTCACGACTTTGATGTGGCCCAATCCTGCAGTGAAGCAGAGGCAGCGTGATTGTTTGTGCTGCAAACGCGAGTATGCGTTTGGGTTATATGTTATTGAATGACGTTTGTCTTTAGCGCAACCTATTTTACATACCTGGAAACTCCTTCCGGCCAAAATTTCAGCCGCGGACGCAAAAAGGCGCCTGAAATTGGGATCTCCCAAAAATCGTGCGGCGTTTTTGCTTTTCCGGCGGCGTTTTTCAAACGCGGCCTTAAAGAGTATTGCTGCCACAACCTTTGCTGTGACCCATGAGCATTCGCCACTGGGACAAGCGTTGATTGTGCAAACCGCCTTTTGTCAAATTATATTGAATATATGCAGCCACAAAGCAGCTTTTTGCAACTTGCAGCCACCGCAGTACCTGCGCATGCCTACCGCCAATCTCTTCAATCAGGGCATGACGCAGCCCGGGTGTATGAATTATGTTTGTGGCGAGTACGGAGCCCTCTTTGTCTCCACTGCTTCTGGCTTCAAAGGGGCTGGTTGCCCCAAAGTGATTTTTTTCCTGCATGCAGGGTTCAATAGACGGTTTTGTATTTTGTTGGTGTTTCGGGCTACGGCGGAAACACGCGGGATTACGGCGGAAACACGCGGGATTACGGCGGAAACACGCGTTCAACCAGTGGACGTTCTCAGGGCCTTTGATTGCGCTTGATGCTTGATCTCCTTACCTTCGATTCGTGCTGTTATTAGCATCACTGTGCAAAGCACGTCTGGTCACAATTGCATTGCCGGCGGAAATCATGATGCATGCAATTGGCTATGTAGTTGCGGGCACCGACAGTGCCAAAGCTCGTGTCTTGATGTGCAAGTGCTTGCCATTTCCGGCCTACGCATTGTTCTCTGGATGGGTGGGGTCGTTGCTGCGTGCCCAGTGCCCATTTTCGTAACTTTCAGCAGCGTTTGTGAGCAAATCAAAGACATGCCG